ACGAACGACCGAAACGAACCCGGTATCCGTGCCAGAACTATCGCGCGATCTCGACTAAACGAATTTCTTCTTCGAGCGTTTTTTGCGTTCACCTGTGTTCTGACACGGATCGTACCGATTTCGCCGCTCGCGCGCAAGCGTGCGGGCTCACACACACACGCGCGCACACACACGCACACACACATACACACACACACACATACACACACACACACACACACACAAACACAGACAAAGGCATACATACACGCGAGAACGTACGTGCGCGTTTTTCGTACGCGAAACTCCAGTCGCTTTTCCTCGGATGAAAACGTTCCGGCAGAGTGTCGACGTCGGCGTAGGTTCGCGCGAAATACCAAGTACTCGAGACAATGACCTTATCAGACATTTTAACGTTCGCTTATCGATCGTTCGCAAATCAATGTGCAATTTCGAAATTTCCGTGCCTAGGTAGGTGGCCAATATCGATGAAAGATTCGTTTTGTTTCGCGCTCGATCAACGAACCGCGAACGGTTGCTCTGTGCGCACTCGATGCTTAGATCAATTAGAAAATTTTAGTTGACCGTTATCGGGGATATTCCCGGTATACGAATTGAGCGGCGTTTAGGTAAAATTATTTCGCGAATGTTGTCGAGATTTCACGCGTAGCGGATAAGTGACATATCGCTTTCGAGCACGATCGACGGGACGGCATATTACGCGCGACTCGACGAATTTTTACATTTCTCTGCTAGTCGGCAAGTCGCGAAGAAAGAAAAGTCGACGAACCGCGAATCACGAAAATCAGACGGACTCGCTGCTTGACGTTTGACGTCGTACGAACATCGCGCGCGACTGCTGCGTTGAAAATAGGGGCTGAGGCCGCGAGGAAGTATGGATAAAGGGAATAACCGCGACTCTGTAGTCGCCTATAGCGAAACTTTATACGTACGAACGTGCACGCGTACACACGATGGAAACGCAAGTCTGCCGGCAATGGCACGCTAAGAATTTAAAGCAAAGAAGAGAAAAATAATAACGATGACGATTGATAATAATAATAATAATAATAATAAATAATAATAAATAATAATAATAATAATAATAATAATAATAACGATAATGATAAGCTACATTTCGCAGCAAAGTTATTGTTTGAGAAAATCGCCCTTAAGAAAAAAAAAAGTAACAACTACAACAACTACAAGAGTAACAAACAATATGTTAGGTATGATTCTTCACCTCCTTTGTAATATGTGTGATAAAGCATAATATATAATATAATGACAATTATATATATATATACATACACATATATATGTATATACGCGTGTTTACATGTATATACATATTTGTGTGTATATATATATATGTATATATGTGTGTGTGTGTACATGTAGGTACAGGATATAAAATACTAATATATAATTGATAATAACGATCGAAATATTTAATATATTCTGATGGACTTGAAAAAAGAAAAGATAATGGATGTAAACTTGAAATATAGATGTTGATTGCGCGACACGACAGTAGCGGGATGCAAGAGAAACGGATAGGAAAATCGTGGAGCGTGGAAACGCGCGGAAAAGCGGAGAAGCGGAAGTTTCGAATAACGAAAGATATCGCGATGCCGACCGAACGATGCTTGCATAAGCACAGGCGCGACGTAACGCGTACACTGTCGTTCGTGTAATGCGCACGAGTGACTCAAAAACGGTATGGGTTACGAAACAGCATGGGAAAAGCGAAAAAAAGAAGGAGGGATGAACATTTTGGGGGAACGAGTAACAATGGTAGTCACTTACGATAGATTTGTATTTTTCAGTGTTGAAAAGTTTTTTATACCGCTGTTATATTCTTGTCTAAATATCTTAGTTCAGAGAAAATGCGAGAGACGATGGTCGCGTCTTAGCTTGCATGAAATTATATAGGTGCGTCCGAATACACCGAATACGTGTGTGTGCATGCGAGAGAGAAAGAGAGAGTATGTGTGAAAGAGAGAGAGAGAGAGAGAAAGGAGGGTTTAGCGAAGGAAAGGAATGAGAGAAACACGGAACGAGTGAAAATGGCTTCGATAGATGTAACGGAGAGAGGAGACGAGAGAGTGCGCGTGAGAAAGAAAAAGAGAGAAAGAGAAGCGAAAGTCGAACGAGCAATCGAAAAAGCACGAACATCGTGTACAACGTAAGCTCCAAAAGAGGAGGACACGATGTACTCGCCACGAATCGACCATCGAGATTTTATTTTCAACGCGATTTATCATGGTGCGTACAAAGTTGCACTCGATAAACGTCGAATAGAACCGGTGCAACGACGTTTCGTTGTCATCGTCGCGAACAAGCGCGGAACGATCTCTCTAGCTTGATTCGATCGTCTCAAAACGATTATTCGCGAGAGAAAAACCGACGATAAGAGAGGGAGAGAGAGAGAGAGAGAAAGAGAGAAAGAGATTGGGAAGGTAGAAGCGTCGTGAGTCTCGGTGATCCTTGGCGAGTGGTCGTTTGTCCAAGAAAGAAAAGGCGTTCACGCTTTCGAGACTCGCTCTGCGTAAACCCCGAGAACACGAGCGAACCGACGACGATTAATGGCGGAAAAGCGAGATTGTAGCGAGCGCGTGATACCAGGCACGAAACACGAAGCGCCAAACGCGATCGACCGAGTCGATCCTACCTCTAGTTAGCTCCTGATATGCTCGAGCAATCCTATTTCTATCTACCATTTTCCACGTACAATTTTATCGATCGATTTATATTTTTTTAAGCGTTACGATTTTTATCGCTCTCGTATTGTATAGATCGCGTTCGAACGACTAGCGTTCGTTTAGAGGCAATTTGCAAATCTTATTTTTCTCGTTTGATCTGTGTTCTTGCTGGACTTCCCGACCACCTTCCTGTTCATCGCGTTGTTCTTTCTACACGCGTCTTTTCTTTTCTTCTTTTTTTCCTTTTTTTTTTTTTAACT